CAAATAGTCTAGATATTGTCTCAGATGATAAAAAACAAAGTGAATATACCTGTTCACTTTTTGAAGTACACATAACACTCGGATTTAAATCCGATGTTTTCGCATTTATTTTTCTTTGAAATTGATCCATTTCCTTTTTTACTCAAAACTACTTTCGTTTTAGATCCGGACCATTTTCTCTTTGAGTTTGAACTATTTACGCTTGAGACTAATTCATATTTTCTTTTTGGAATCTGAGCTATTTTGTCTTCCAATATAAATTATTTTCCTTTTGAAATTGGTCCATATTCTCTTCGAAAATGATTTGTTTTCGCTGAACTATTGATTCAAAACTGTTAACTACGTGTAAAGAGAATTTTCAGAGAGAAAGCCGTAATAGAATAGAAATATTTAGAGTGAACGGGTAGTCCCATAGCTTTCTCTCCCTAATTGTGTAGTCTATACAGTAAGTATCCTGTCGTTTAGTTAAATTACGAATTAATTTTCAGCTTTCACTTGAAATTGAACTCATTAATGTTTCACTAATAAACACTTGTCTTATTTAGATATTGCAGAGATCCTGTCTTATGCATTAAGTGTGTCTTGGATGGTGTACCAACTGAGATAAAACCAACTGATGAACAAATAAAAGCTATTCTTAAAATACTTGGTAAACTAGTTTAAGAAAAAAATTGAATTCAAAATTTATTTTATATTTTAGTTCTTGATGTTAAACTTGAAATGACTGTATTACGTATTGAAAATGACCTTCCATATGTACAACTTAATTTAGATGAACGAAATTTAAATGTTGAAATACGTACAATATTATTACAATCATCATCATCAACTACAACAACAGTAATAAAATCAAACTAAAATTTGAAAATAATTTTCTTTTCTTTTGAATAGATTCTACAAAATTTAAATAATAAAATTATTGATTTTGATTCAAATAAGCCTGAAATAAATATATTTAAAATTTATCCTGTACAATTAACAAGAGTTGATACTAATTCAGAATGTTTTCATATTTTATTAAAAACTAATGATCTTTCAAAAATCATGAATGTACTTAAACATTGGCATGTTAATAAACAACCGTTAACTATTACACCAAAACAAGATATGCTTGTTTGTGTACAACGTGAAGATAATCTTTGGTATCGAGCATGGATTGAAAATGTGGCTGGTATAAAATTTTAATTTTTGTAAGATTCATTTGAAAAGTTTTCTTTTTATTAGAACATGGTTTTCATGTGCATTTTGTTGATTTTGGATATAATGAGGTTGTTTCAATTAATCATCTTAGTGAATGTCCAGAGGCTCTACAAAATATTCCATGGCAAAGTGTACGAATTAAATTAGCTGATATTGAATTAACAGATGATGAACGTTATTTACTCTTAAAGAATTTTCAAAATGATCAACTTAAAATGGAAATTCTTTCAAAAAATCAAGATAATTATTCTGTTGAATTGCTGAAAGATAAACAATCTCTTGCAGAATATATCTTTCATTTACGTACAAGTAAAGAGCAACAAACAGAATGTAAATATTCAAAATTTAGAGGTTTTTTTATAAGATTTTTTTGAAATCACAAAATCGATTATTTCTGAATTATGCGATGCAGAAGTCAAAGAGAACAACGCAAATACTTTTGATAAGATAGTTGTTTAAATAATTGCTTTCGAATTCAGAATAAACAGCACATCTCGAAAATAATATCGATTAATGAAGCTATTGTTTCTCTTTACATCTTAACTTAAAGAAAAAACTGATTAATCATTTGCTATTGAGTCGTTAACATTTAATATTTCATTTTATTAATTGAAATCAAATATTTATTTATATAAAAAAATTAAAATAAATTTTCATCTATAAAATAATAGAAAATATAAATTTAAAAATAGTTTTAGTTAGAAATTAAATACTCTTTTGTTCATTAACAGATTAAAATATATGTATGTTTTTTTTCTTATTTCGTTAGATAGGATACAAAAAGAACAGAAAAGAATTTCTTCGAAAAAAGATCAATTATCAAAATCAAAGAAATCCAGATGTATGTTATACTGCAAAAAAGAAATTCTACATTTTAAAAATTTTTTTAGCACCCTTGTTAAAGAATATTGATGTGTATGTGGACTTTCAAGATGAAGATATTACCTATACAACTATAGGTTCTGATGCATTGTCCTCATGTACATTTATTTTAATCACTGGCTACGTTCAAGATGATGAATTTTCATATTTATCACATTATCCTGAACCATTTGAAGAATCAGATACACCGACAACAACACTTGTGAAAATCATAAACAGAATATCAGAAGATCTCCAACGTCTAATAAAAAATCAACCACCACCAAATATTAATGAAGAATTAAAAGTTAATCATATACATGATTTAAAACTACTAGCAGGTGGTGGTGTTATTGACGAATATCAAGATTTAATTCGAGATGGGTTAATATTATTAAATAGCAACAACAGTAACGTACAACATCTCTTAACAGATCCATTTTCAAATTCAATCTACGAAAAGTTAAAGTTCAACGCCATAATTTTAGAAGCAGTTACTTTGTTAGCCGGTGATAGTTATGAAAAAAAAAGGTACATGGATCATATTATCTTTTTAAATAGAAATAATGATTGAGATTAATGAGAGATGCAATATGTATAATTTTATAGAGCAAATCAAGTTTCATTCAATATATGATTCAATTTTAACAATAAAAAAACTTCACGAAGAAAAACTACTAAATGATGATAGTTGAATCTGTAACATTTATTCTCAGATTTTTAGAAATGTTTGAAGTTGGTTGATCCTATCTTACCAGAAACCCATCATTAAACTGTAATATTTTGGATACTTCTATGATATATCAACACCTAACTTATTATGGGATCAAATTCAAAATCTTTTTCCTAATATGTTTTTTAATATCACAAAACCTCTGTTTTCTTCTAGAATATCTTTTAAATATTCTTTTTCTTTCATCAGAGAGAATAGTTTTGGTGTTTACTTTTTTAAAATTATTTTTCTTTTATTATTTTTAGAACATAAAGCTGAATGTAATTATGAACTACTTGATACATCAAATGAATCAAGTGATGATACATCTAGTGGTGATAAACGCAATAGTTATGAAGCCGTTTGTGATGATCTTGCCATTTTATTAACTTATGACTGTTCTACAAAAACAGCTAATGTTTATACAGAATGGATTGGTGAATCAATAGAATGTGTTATTAGTTCATTATCAATAAATTTTACAAAACTTTATTATATAACTTCTACTTGGCAATTGAATAACAACGAAATAAATTCCATCAAAAACAAAATTCAACACAACAACGAATTATCTTCATCATTTAAACAAACATTAGGTAATTGAAATTGAATTTTGATTTTGAGATGAATTCCTTAGAAATTTTATAATTTTATTGCCTTCTAGAATTTGTAACAAAAATTATTTCCATTGATGAAAATGGTTTGTATACAACTATTCTGATATAAAAAAAATTCTTTTTTTTGCTTTGAAGGTAACAGTCCATTTTATTCATTAAATAAATCCAGTATTACAGTGAGAAATCTGTTTTAATATTTATGTATAACTTAAATTAAACTCAATTAATTTATTTAGACTAATGATTTAAAATATAATTTTGATGATTTTTATTTTTCCACAAATATTAATAGTAAATCCAATTTTAAAAATAATTTTTTTTCAAAAAAAAACAAAAACAAATATTTTTTTTTTGTATTTTAGCTAAACAATCAGCAGTTATTGATGATGTTGATGATGCTGATAAATGTGATAATAATCAAATTAAGAGTGGTGATAATGCTGGAAATCCATCTGAAGGCATATAATAATGAATGATACTATTATAAGAACAAAAAGCTTATTTTTTTAGGTATGGACCTTTTCTTATGTTTTTATATTTCTCAACTTGTGTTTCTTTTTCTCTTCTCTTCTATATATTGTTTTTGTTACCTTTTTTCTTAATAAACATGTACAACATGATTTAAAACATCTTTTTTTTACTGATCGTACTATTAGAGAAAAGAAATATTTGGTATGAAATCCGTAACTTTCCTATCCAAGTTGGTAACAAAATAAATATGGTTATTATTATTATCATTATTATTTCAGTTTGAAAGACTTTTCAATTATAGTCATAATAGGTATGAAATATCCCACTTAATTGAAAAATCAAAATATATGCTACATCTTGTTAATGAGAATTAGAACTTGTTTTTAAGATAAACGAAAATTACTTCGCAGTTTAACGTCTTTTTTAAGGGAATTCCGACTAACGAGGGAACTACCCGAAGTGATTCAAAGCTTTTGAGCTAATATTTTGCTGATAAGTAATTAGAGTTTAATGAGACTAGAAAAAGCCGAAAAGAACAAGGGTTCATGAACCTTCCTTCTCGAGTTATGGTCATTTTACTAGGATTATCACCTATGATATGATATTCACTGAAAAATCAAATGAAGGAGTTTCGACTTGAAATTTTGCCTACTTGCAGGTCTCCTGGTAAGTATATTACCCCGAAAGTTTCAGCCAAAACGAATGAGCCATTCTCGAGATATTGAGCTTTCAAGAAAACAGTAGTATGTTGCACATATACCAAAAGAACCACATTTCTTGAAAGCTCAATATCTCGAGAATGGTGCATTCGTTTTGGCTGAAACTTTTAG